AGAGGCGGAGGCGGCAGAGATGTGGGTGTTGTTGCCGGCAGTCCTCTGGCGTGTTGCTGCTTGCTTCGACGAATGCCGTGCTGTGGCAGCCAGCCAGCAGATGAACCGTAAGCTGTGCTGGTGTGAGCGAGCATCAAGTATGCGCATGTATGTGCTCACATTCACTAGTATGGTTTCATACGCAAGGAAAGCTGATGCGGAACTATTGGGGAGAGTAAATGGGGCAGTGACTGTGCCACATCTGCTCTGCACACAGGTAAATAGCCACAATGATTGGCTTAATTACCATCATCATGCTTCCCATCTTCCCCTCCCTCAAGATCATCACCATCTCATTCATTGTAATCTTTGCTGTTTAACAGAGAGTCTGGAAATGTCACTCCTGTCTTTAATGTATTTTGAATTATGGCCAAATAGGCATTGTAGGCTAGCCATCAAGTACGGTACAAAGAGTGGAAAACTTATGCAGAGCATAAAAACGTAGGAAAGGCTAATATAAGTTCATATCTTTCTTTTTGTTGCTATTTTTGTTGCCTTGCACTTATGAAAACCCAGCAGAATACATCTTGACTGAGCCATGTGATTTTCCAACAATTTGACTGCCTGGCAGAGCTATCAACTCTTTGCAAGCACGCCTTCCTGCACATACACAAATGAACCCCAGCCTTGCCAGTTCACCAGGTGTTACCGCCCATCTTCAGCCCTTTCTCTCTCCAACAACCCCCCGCCATGCATGGCAGAAAATTTCTCTCATCAACTACTAATCACAGCTACGCATTCTGGGACAACTCTCCAGCAACAGAAGGCCTGGGTGAAAAACCAATTAGCTAAGCATTTTGGATCAAGCACAGTTAGTTGCACAAACAAAAGACACTCGGTGTTCAACGTATCCGAAGCACCCACACACACTCAAACCTGACTGTGAGGGAAATTAATTTAGCTGTAGAAATAGGAAGCGCAATCAAACATTATGCCTCTCCTCTATCTCACTTACTAATAATAATGCAACAACAAATACAAAGACAAGAACGTCTGAAAAAGAAAAAAAAAGAGCTATTGTGCATGAAACGAAACAAACGAGACAGAGAAGGATAGAGCGAGAGGGAAGGAGAGCTGTTTCTCCTGGCTCTGCAATCCTTACCATCTGTGAGGGTTTGGAAGCACATCTTGCTGCTGTATTTGCCAAAGCCAGCCACAGTCCGTGCGCGCACCTGTACCACATAGACTGTACCCGGCCTGAGGGCCTCCACACGCGCTGTGTTAGTTTGGCTCCGCAGGATAGTGGAGTTAATCTCTGCATGGTCCTGAAAAGAGCAACGATCACAGGCAGCAAGTTAGAGATAACTTCATGAGAAGATGTCAGAAGATGAAAGGATTAAATCACACCATGCAGAATTCAGAAAAGTCCAGTGTTGGCAAGTTTGAGATACAACAACCAAGTTTATGATGGAATCACGTATTCTGGTAATAGTAAGGAGAAATGGTCCCGAATTTAAAAGAAATTTTAAGTCGCATGTTACAGGAAATGCACTGTGCTTCTGAAAAACATCAGTGACAGAGAAAGAATAGAAGTCGATATAGAGAAGAGTAGATAAACAACAGACAGGAGCGACGAGGCAAAAGCCCTCCTTAAGGCTTCGGTGTGAATGCTGTATTAAACAGACAGTGGTAATATGTTTGTACACCAGTTTTTAAAAAGGCTTCAACCAGTTTGAACTTCAAATAAAATTTCAAACCACGACAGAGCACGTACGCGGTCTAAAAAACACTGTGTAAAATATAAAAGCATTTATACAGTTACACGCATGCACAATATTGTAATTAAAAGCAATCGTTTCTTGCGGTTTACAAAGAGAAATCGCTACGTCAGAACATTAAAAACGCCACTGCGTGGTTTGTCGCTTGTGATGTGCTTCATGAGGTAATTTAATTACTGCAAGAAGTTTGAACATTTGATCCTCAGTTTTGTTCTTTGAAGTGGGTTTGCTTTTGTTGATTTATTTTTATTTATTTATTTTTTCAATCCAATTCCTCTGGCAGTAAGTATTTTACTTGTTTATGAAAAGGAATAGCTTAAAAATTCTTGCACGTCCCATGCAACATTCAATTTAAGGTGTTTCCCCTCTATTTTTTGTATTGATTTTTGAATTGGAATATCTATTTAGGATAGAAATCCAGTGGTGAAATCCAGCTTTTGTCAGCTGAGACAACTGGCAAAAATAAAAAAACATTCTGCAGAAAAGTCGCTTTGAAACATGAATCCATGCTTTCATCACAACTCTGTTGGATTAGTGTAATTCTTTATATGTTGGTGTCGTCTTCAGCTGGTGCAAAATGCTGCAGCCTGACTTTTAACTGGACCACAGAAAAGAGAGCATATTACCCCTGTTTTATCCTCCCTGCCTGTCCATTTCGGAGTTCATTTTAAAATTCTTTTATTTGTTTTTTAGGTGATTAAATGGCCTTGCCCCGCCCTACCTCTCTGAGCTGCTGCACTTGCACTGCCCTTCCCCGTCGCTCAGCTGACCAGCTGCTCATGGATGTGCCGAGGAGCGGAGGCTCAGAGGGGACAGGGCTTTCGCCATAGCAGCTCCCAAATTGTGGAATTCATTGCTGTTTCTTATTAGACGGGCCTCTTCACTGCTAATCTTCAAAATTCGTTCTTAAGATCCACGTCTTCGGCTTGGCGTTTAACGCAGTTTGTATATTATTCTTTTTTTATCCTTTTGTTTCACTCATGTTTAATCCTATCTTGTATTCTACTGATGCTTTTATTTTGCGTTTTAGTATCAATTCTGTTTATTTTATGTTTATCTATTTATTTATTCTGCGTACTTTTATTTTGTAGCACTTTGGTCAGTGGGAGCAAAATATATAGAAATGAGGGGTGGCTGAAGATTTTTGCAAATTACTATATTTTCACTCTTACAGAGGCAGTCTGCAGTTTGCTGCAGTGTAGTCTGGGACCTGCTTTAGGTATCTGCTATTGTGGATCAGTAATGACTATGGCCTGTCACCTTCCCATAACCCAGAGTGAATATGACAGCCAGAAAATAAGACTGCACCTACACAACCCCCACCACTGCAAGCTGCTGATAGCTAGATGCTGACAGAGGTAGAGAAGGAAAAGGGCAGCTCAATGCAAAGGGGCCAATTTCCCTTGAATTAGTAGTGCAGTGTAAATATAGGTAACTTTTTCTTAAGTGTAATGAGTAAACTCATGCTTAATGCTAAATAAAAACTTCCAAAACATGTATGAGTATGCAGAGAAAACTTGAGGAAAAAAATGACAACACTATGGAGTAGAAAAAAAAATAAAGGTAGAGAGGGAGGGGGGAGATGGTAGGAAGCGATAAGAAACTCGAGGCAGAAGGAACCCACATCAAAATCATTATCCAATCTTATTGGTGTAATTGAATCATTCCAGTTGCTCTGTCATTGAGCAGACGAGGTAAACACAGCTATGAAATCTGCCCCCCCCCACATAATAACGTGAGCAATCACATTAACTCTTATTGGACACTCTGAGCTTGATGAAGACAAATGTTTGGGCCAGGGATGGGAGAGCATCACACCAACAGGCTTTCGCTCTATCTCTGAGAGAAAAGAGATATTTATAAACGGAATGCTGGATGTAACTGGTTTAGAGAGTTTAATCATTTCACAGACCTTTTGTACATGAGATCACACAAACTGTCATTTCACCAGTGTGCTGCATACAAATACTTGTGGAACTTGACTTCAGAGGAGCAGCTTGTGCATTTGAAAGAGGTGCGAAACACAAGAAGCCCCACGAGAGACTGAAACCCTTGTCACCTATTCATCTGGTCCAAGATATGGTTCAGTGCACACGGACCACTTGGGGTCAAGATTTGCCTATTCCTGCTTATCAGTCATCGTGAATTTCCCTGAATCACACCCCCATCTGCTGAGCTTGAATGGGGGACAGGTGAGCAGACAGATGGCAAATCGCCAATGGGCAAGCATCCCTTGAGGGAGCCCCAGCTAGCAATGGCCCTTTCATGCTGCCTGTCAAATGGGGATTATGTGACACACACACACACACATCTGCTACTTAAAATGAGCTGGCATTTGGCACTCCAGCAGGTTAGGAGATAACCAATGAAAGCCCATGCCAGGAGGGACTTCCAGGTATGAGAGGTCCTCCCCTGCTGCCAGTCAAATGAGGATTAGGAGGACCACACCCATACTTGCTAAATAAAGACAAAGTTGCAGGTGGGAAGGCAGATGGCGGAGCAGCCAATCAAAAGCGTTGCCAGGGGTGACAGAGAGTAAGCAATACGGGGAGTTTGGGCTCTATGACATGTAATAAAATCACCGAAACACACTTAGCGAGGCAACTCTCTCATGAATATTGTTCACAGATTTAATCGATTCATTTTTATTGATGTTTCCTTGGCCACTTGTCATCCTTTCACTTCTGGAAATTTGTATTTTTGTGTGACTTTCTGAATCGAAACGATTCCTCTTGTGGGTCTGTTATAGGTGGTAGTCATATAAGACTATTTAAAAAAGCCTGATTTGACTTCACTTCACTTGGTCTGCAAAAACAAACAAACTATGTGTACACAGACACCTCTCAAAGTACACATAGTTTGTTTGTTTTTAAAAAACAAAAACACCAAAAATGGACAGCATGGCTCCTTGGCACAGAGACAAACTTGGTAGTACCATGTGTCTTATTGAAAAGCTCACACACATGGGTGCACTCACACGCGCACATAAAGAGAAAGATGGGGAGTATATAAGACAACATTTTGATATTTGAAGAAAAAAAACTCTTCTATTAATGTTCCCAATTAAAATGTATTGCCTAAGGTTGGGAAAAAACCACTTTAGTAGGGGGCAACAATTTAAATCTCAGAGAGTAGATAGTTTTTATTTCCAAATGCAAATAATTACCACTGCCTCATGAATTCTAATCTAAAAGGAAAATGGTAATTATTTTTAAATTGTAAAATAGTCGTGATAAAAATACGACATTAAAGACCCCCAATGTCTCTTAATGATTTTGTGAAGTAAAGAAGTTAAACCAGTGTAAGAGCAAATTTTATCCCCACACAAAAAGGGTCTTGCATTTGTTTTTCATTGCGATTCTGCAAAGCTGTATGTTTAACACTAATGAGGATGGTAAAAGACAAGCAAGAAAATTCAATTTATCTAATGTAAGTTTCAAGGGAAACCTATTTGTTTTTGCTCTTTGAGTTTTTCTTGTTCTTTGTAGGCACCTTTTCTTTTTCTCTTTGTATGCATTCCATTCACCTGGAGACCTACAAGACGGCTTCGGTAAGTGAGTAGGGAGACAAACAAAGAGGGAGAAAAGAAGAGAGTGCGCTCTTGCTGAGGGACTGAGGGAGTGCTGCATAAGTTCCAATGAGAGAAAAAAAAGAAGAAAAAAAGAAAAAGAAAACTTTTTTTAGTGTGTGTGTCCATAAAAGTGTTGTAGTTGAGACAAAGGAATAACATGCATTCCCAATTACTTCTTCTGAGGACCTTTTAATTATATGTAAGGTGAGATTTGCAGTAAGACTGCCCCCCAAAAAGTTGTAAGTGTTAATGGTCAGTATGTTGCAGATCATAGTGACATGCCATAAAACTTGCATTTGCTCTCGAATTTGTCACACCGTAGCATGACAGTACTGCTGTCATCCAGAATGGATACACCTGGACTGCTGCCGACACACGCAAACACTGACACTCGCTCACACACAGATCCCGGCACACACACACACACCCTCTCTCTGACACCAGCAGAGCAATCAGTAACCAGAGCCGGTGGCTGCTCCGCTCCAGCCTTAATGGAGGGCCTGACCTCCGCTACGCTGCGTTATTTCCACCCTCCCCAAATTTTCAGGCAACCAGAGGAAAAGGGGTCTGAGAAAAATGGAGAGAACGAGAGCATGCGATTCTACTTTTTCTCAACAAATCTTCGACTCATTTAATCTTGCTTCCCAATTTACAGAGTCCTGAGACCGCTTACTCTGGAATGAGAAGGTAGGTTGAAGAAGTGAGCGAAGCCTGTTGAGAGAACAGCCTCCAGCATTTTCTTGAGGTTTCAAGTGAAATTGTCAAAATGCAGTCATTTCCAACAGCTTTATATATGCAGCTACAGCTTAAACTGCAGTTCTACTATATATGGGAAATTTGGACTTATTCTGCAGCTTTACGATTATCATTACTGTTAACATTTTATATAGCAGTACATTTTCAGAAATGATAAATATTAAGTTGTTCATTTAGTGATGTTGCTTATCATTAGATGAAATGTGCAAACATACACGGAAAAATAGTTCATAAGGCATAAAGAAGAGTTTTTGAGCACCTTTCTGCTTCAACACAGCCTGAACTCTCTTAGCTTTCTACTCAGTTTCTTTGGATTCATCTCTCCATGAAACCTGTTACCACTGTTTTTCAGTCCAGTTCTTTTGTAATCTGGCACAACTCTGCCTTTTTTCCCCGTTTCACTAATGAGACCTCGGCAATCAGTAGAAGGATAAACTGAAGGACCAGATGCATCTTTCACCTGAATTTTTCCTCCTACTTTTTAAGAATGTGATTTTCAGATACTGTTCAGCTGCTGCAGCTTGTTTTTAGGCCTGCTACGTCTTCTTTTGTCCTGCACTTGTTCATTTTCCTCAGCATATTTAAAGATAAACTGCGCACCATGCCAAGATATGCCAACTTTTCAGATAATACCTCTGGGAATCACTCCGTTGATGCGAAAAATATTTAATCACTGTCAAACTGTCACTTTTTGCAGATTCAACTAAAGAAATGGGAACAAATTATACGTTTTTGGCGAAGCGCTGCTAGTAATTTAAAAATTGGTTCTTTGCTAAGTTGTCTGTTATGTGTAAACACAACACGGGTTCATCCCTTGAGTTAGTTGCCTTTTTTATGCTTGAATGATTCACAGGTCAGTGTCGAGTAGCTTAAACAAACAAACAAAAACATTCCTCAGAAAATTGTCAGGTACAAGTACCGGTACTGGAAACGAGTGAAAAAGCTGCCACTTGTTTCTAAAGCTCAAAAACATTTTAAATTTAGAATAATGTGGCTCGAAACTTTTTCCACAGTATTGTATATGGGACATTGGTGCCATTGAGACATTTCTTTCCCAAAAGCAGTTATTTTAAAATAAAAATAAAGAAGGAAATACCTAAAGATCTGTGCAAACATTCTGCTTCACTGACAGCATGACTACATTTTTTTTTAGCTTTTCCAGCGAGTGACTTAAAGCAGACATGCTTTAAGCCTGAGTCCTGTAGCTCTAGCAGACAACCTTATGAACCAATGTTTTTTATGGCCCCAGAGGGTGTCCTGGTGGCTCAGCAGACAACATCACAGAGCATGTACTTTTCCTTGCATGTATATCTCCCTTTAAAAATGATCAAGAACCAGTCCAATCACTGTTGCATATGACATTCTGTATTGCACTGTCACAGAAAAAACAAAACAGCAAACAATCAAACCTGCGTACAAGAACTAAACTTGTATCGAATAAGTACTATGACGAGGTTGTGAGAGAAGTAGATCAATCCTTTATGAACAACCTGAAGTATTACTCAACACAAAATGTGACAATGCCATGCTGTTAGAGAAGTTGCCATTGTCAGTGACTATATGTGGCTCCCGGGGAGATGGAGTTTGCAGAAAGACAGCTCACGCTTTGCTGTGCTAAGGACTAGCTGACTGTGGCAGGCACACTGAGAAAATCAACTCCATAACCATAACAGTGTGACTACTCTCATATTCAAAAGGCCACATCATCACTTTACAGCAGAATGGGCAAGAAAGCAAGGAAGATAAACTCACGAGAAAGCCATGCCAAGGTTTGTGACAGAGAGAATCTACATGGCATTACGCACTTATGTGCATAGGGAAATTTAACAGGCTGGGAAATTACACTTCAATCCATTTAGCTTCATTTGATTCTTTTGGCCAAAAACTTCAACCACCTGCACTTTTGGTTGGTTGGTTGGTTGGTTGGTGCTTAATCAGGCATAAAAACACATCTACATTGACACTTTGGACAGCCACGGCTGGCTGAAGAAGTGTCTGTTCAGAACCTATAAAAAGCCGCGTCAGATCCAAAATACAGCTTGTCAGAAGAGGACCACCGTAGTGGAAATCTCATCTTCACAGCCCAGCGTGTCACAAAGCAATCACTCTGACTCTCCTTCTGTGTCTTACTCAGAGTCACACGGGGAAGTATTTTTCCAGATAGACACAAAAACATAGGGGTATATGTAGGTGCATTAAGACGGAGCCAGACAGGGTCGAGTACAACCTCTCTGTCACCTGAGCTATCCCAGTACAATTAGCAACCTTGTCCTTGTTAATTCACTAATTTGTGATTACGCAGTGCTCGTCTATTTGTGTGAGGATGCACTGCATAAACATCAATAGGATTAGGTTTCATTGATATTCATGAGCTAATGGGGGGGGGGGGGGGGCTGTATAAGTGTTATTTACACGACACTAAGCTGTCTGGCAGATAAGGTTTCTCAGGGCCATCGCAATCAGATTCAATTTCATGACCTGTGCAATGCCAGAGGGGAAAACAGCAAGCGCTGCAGCTAATATTGGATAACTGAGTTTCCAACTGCAAACACTATTTAAAAACATGATTGTTGTTCTCTCTGATAGAAAATGCTAAATGTGACAAAACTATTCTAAGGTGGGATTGTGAATATTGATCGCAAAGCCTTAGCCAAAATGAGTTTGTGTGAAGTAAATAACTCAACACAAAAAGAATAAAAAAAAAAAAACATTGATAAAACTATATTGATTTTTTATCTTTTATTTGAAAAGCAGAACATGAGTGAAGGTGCACCAAATCTTAGCTTAGGATGACAAGGACTGGAGAGAAAAAAAAACAAACTGCACAACCAACTTTGCTATACCTATCGATCAGCTTGAGGAGGACAAACAAGGACCCAAACAAAAAAGCTAAAGTCTCCAATCTCTCAGTATCATTATGTTCAAGGCCTTGGGAAAAGCCTACAGGTCAATACTTGTGCAGCATAGGCTCCGTGGGGTAGGACTGGCGACTTAATAAAGCAGACGTATTGTGTGTGAGCAGACGGGTCGATGTGACTCCCTCCAGATGCAATGCATTTTCACAGTGGGACAGGTTGCTGCACTACGCAGAGTGGGCCTGGAGCAGAGGTCAAACTATTCGCTTCATCAGCAGCCGAAACCAAAGAACAGTGGGAGAGGCAGAGTGAACACAGCGAAAGAACATATTATCAACCCAGGGGGACTCAGCTCAGAGATATCAAGGAGAGCTTTGGTTTTTGGGCGGATTTATATGCAGTTGAATATGCAGAGTAGACGACACGAGTAAAAGAACTTCAGCCATTACAGAAACACACACACACACACACACACTTACCTTTTCATAGTAGCGTAGCTCGTAGTCGAGGATGATGCCATTTGGCTGTTCTGGTTGAGGCCATGAGAGTGTGAAGCTATTCATGGTGGAGCTGATTTGGTGCATGATGGGAACTATTGAAGGAGCTGGAGGAGACAGAACGAGTAACACAAAATTAGTGCATTTCTATAATAACCGGCTTTAATTACACATGTTTCTCGCCCACAAGTGTTTGTTGGTTGTAGGTGGTTATTCAAAAATACTCAAATTCAAGATAATTAAACAGATTGGTGAGCAAGGGTAGCCTGACTAAACAGCTGAATTGCTCAGTTCTGTGCATGTTTGTCTGTCCTCAAGGCTCAATTTCATGAAACCTGGAGGTGAAGTTAGAAAATGTGGCTTCAAATGCAGAGCGCTTTCTCTAAAGTTAGGGGATTTGCTTTAGTGCATTTAATTCAATAATTCAATCCAAATACTTTCAAACATGATGGTCTATGTTTTAAAAAATAGTGCACTTTTGAATTCTGTACATGTGCAAATAAAACATCACGCTGCTGCACAAATACAAACTGAACTATTTCACCATCAGTATGCTTCTCAGAGTCCGAGCGGCTTAAACAGTGCAACTGCCTCTCTCATTAGTAAGCAGGTAAGCAGCTGAGTTAGAGCGATTAGGCCTGCTCTCTGCCATATTCTGGCACCGCAGGACCAAATATAAACTGGCTTTAGCCAAAACAGATCTGCCAATTTTGGCCGAGATTTGTGGGCGTGGACTTGGGCCGAGCGAGCAGGACTCTGGCTACCAGAATGGTCCATCACCACGAGCCTGGCAAGTGTCCCGCTACCATTGTGTTAGATTTTGTCCGCTGATGGGCAGAGAATTCAGGAGCATGAGTGTAGCCTCTACAGGATGCACTGGATCAGTTCTCCCTTTTCTTTCACGACTACTCATTCACACAGTTGTGTTAACTTAGACTTAAAAACTTAAATATCAACTTGTTTTCATTTCTGTCATTATTAAATTTCATAGACATTTTTTTCCTGAAAATTCAGTGAGAGTATAGGTAGTAAAACTAAATAAAACAGACACTGAGTGTCTTTGCTACCTTTGCGTTATAAAAAAATGAAAATATTGCACATTTTTATACTGATCAATCTTATGTTCTGTAAAAATATTTTTATATTAATTCACAATTTGCATCACAAGTTATTGTGAGGACTGCCGAGGCGTATTACAGCGATAACACTGTAAATACACGTTATTACTTTTGCCTTTAAAGAAAAAAGCACTTAAGGCTTAAAATCATTAAACTGATGAGACAAAATTATCATACTTGGCCACTTATTCATTCAGGAAATTGAACCATTATTATAAATGAGTGAGTCAGTATGTGACCCCACAGCAGTGAATTTAAAGTCAGATGTTTTCATTCAGTGAGGTTTGAGTAAAAAACATTGACTGATCAAAATCTGGTCATTACAAAACCATCAGCTTCGAGGGAAATTGTGCATTTTCTGCATAAGCAGCTGTTACGTCCAACATAATACATACTGAAAATAGACCCAGTAGAAATCACTTTGCATTTTATATTATTCATTTAATCAGTTTTTGTGTTATTAAGGAAAAAGTCTTGGGACCATTTATGAGTTTTCTCTTTTTCATTTAGTTGAATTATATACAAATAGATTGTGTTTGTTTGATTTCTTGTACACTTGCTTGTTGCATTTGAAAAGGTGAGTCCTGTAAAACCCTTACTGGCTTCTTTCCTATCATGCATAACAGTATTTGTATCTTCTGCTCAACTGTGTAAATAAATATGAAACTCGTGCATTTCATATTATGATTAATCAATGCAGACATCTTGGTAATTCCAAAAGATTTGGGTTTTTTTGTTTGTTGTTTTTTTCACTTGCAACAGTATACTCTATTATTAGCGATATCAGTATCAGTGATGTCCTAGTGAACCAAATTATAGAGCAGAAAGGGAAAAAATGCAAGCTTTGCACCCAGCCAGTATATTCAAGACGGAGTCAATACAAACAATGCCCCTGTTTGCATATGAACTGCATCTTTTTCATGTAATGAAACCCTTTAAAATCAAATCACTATAGTACCGTGATTGTTTTGACCCAGCTCCACCGTATATTCCATCCTTCAGCCCAAGTACACCTGAACGCACACACACGGGCTGTCAATTAACCCCGACAGTAAGCAATTTCCTGCTCATCTCATATTTTTTTGCCCTCTGCAACTGTCATACCGCTATCATCTGTGCTCCTCTTCATGCTTCACATGTTGCTCGGAGATTGTATTATAAATAAAACTTGATAAAACTTGCGCTGTGTGTGCATGCCGATGTGCCTGCGCTTATGTTTGCGTGCTGTGTTATATCTTTGAATTTAAGTTAGATGAAAGTCTAAGAAGACATTTTTTTAAATTCAAGATAAGACCTCTGTGTGAACCAGAGCGGGATCTGATCAGCTGCAAGCATGTTTTTAATCTATATGGACTACAAGTGTGAAGTAAAATGAATTGAACTGAAATTAAATTGAATCCTATTTTTACCGTTTAAAATAAAAAAGGTGTCACATGCTGATGCGGTGTCCCTCAGGCTGTCTTACTGCTTAGTATTGCTTCTTTTACTATTTTTGTCACTGCTGTTATTTAGCGAATCTGTGTCGTGTTGTTGCTGAACGCAGTATCTAAGCTACTTTGACAATGATTTTTCTTAGTCCCGTTTGTAGTATTAATGTATGTAATCCCATTAAGATTTTAAATATCACAAACAGTGTCACATTGACTGTAAGCTTTGGGGGTTTTCTTTCTTTTGGTCCACATGGGACCCATTTTGCCTTCCTCTGGCTGGAGCTTACTTTCCAAAGGTCTGGAATTCTGTGTGGGGAAAAAAACAAACGAGCCCAGGGCAAAATGAAATACTACTTCAGGTTTCAAGAAAGACAGGACAGAAGAGTCTCATTGTGCTTCTGTCTGGTAACAGATGGAAAGAATAGCTCTAAGAATCAAGCCAAAGGCTACCACAATGTCTTTTCATGCCAGATATGTCTGATTTAGACTTCTGCGGGAAACCTACGTCGTAAGCAGAAACCCTTTTTAACACTAACCTTCCACATAACCTGACACGCACCTCTCGAGAAATGTAACTACACGTCAGGTCGATGTGACCTGTAACTATTGTAATTGGCCAGTGTAGCGCCATTGAATCCTCCTATTAAGACCGGATACCCAGAGGGGGAAAAAATGTCCCAACATTTCGTGTTTTTTCTATACGCTTCCAGCATGGTGATTAATGTGTAACCATACACACGCATAAATGTAGCCAACCATGTCTGCCACAATGTAAGTTAAGTCATAGGCTCTATAAAGGTTCCACACAGAAGTCTGAATCAGAAATTAGGGGAGGATTAAAAGAAAACGGTAAAGATTTGATTACTTGTGCTGTAATGGGACAGATCAGTCATGTGGCAATGGAGCTCCTGATAGGCTATTACCTGTGACATGATCAATCAGAGCTGTGCTTGGACACTGAGGCCACAAAGTTTAATATTTCAATTTGTAACATGCGGAGAATTATAATATAATAACATATATGTAATAATCACATTTTGTTTCAGCTGGATTTGGCATCGAAGCAGCAATAAGAAGCTGAGCCCTCTTTATTTAGCTGTCTTTGTGCTGCAGAGAGTGCAGCAAGGACTATGGCACAAATCACAAGGCTGCAGTAACTGAAGCCTGTGCTGCAAAGTGAAACAGTGAGCATATGCTGCATTTTACTTTGCACATCCATATATCACATTGTAGATACTGTAAATCTGTTTAAGCTGTAAAGTTGCATTCATTTGCACAGAAATAACACAAAAGATCAGAAAGTTAAGACACAACTTAAAACTTTATTTTGACCAAACATGTAGTTGCTCTTTCACAACTTTGGAGCTGCTGAGCGTCAGACTCTTAATAAATGATGCACCAGGATGTGTTTTCTTATTTCTGTAAAATGCATCAATCTGTGATCCAGGAGGAAACTTTTCTTTTTAAACAAAAGCAGCACAAATTATTCAATAAAAAATTAGACTGCTTAGCTTTAATGCACAAATCAGTTTCTGGAATGACATACATAAATAAGCCCCAGATTTAACTCCATCATCATAAAGTAATTCAAGCTGCTATAATGGACTCTAATTAAAAGTTAAAGGATGAATTAAACCAGAGTTACTCATCAAACCAATTTGTGAAGACACAAGCGACTTTGATTATAAAATATATTTTGCCTACTGCTCATGTAAGTTCAAAGCCTTGGTGTTTCATATAGTCCTGGAAAGAAATCCTCACCCCCATGTTTGCAGGCATAAATACAGCCCCACACAAGCCCATGCTCTACATTGTGCGCCTATCAGCCACTTGGCTCTTGGCCTGCTCGCTGAGGCCTAGTCATCACTCCACCTGGTCTCCACTCACATCTTGCTGAATAACTCCTCTGTTCAAAAGGCAGCAAATGGCACCCTCTCTCAACTAAGTCATCTTTTTATCACAGTCCTTGGTGATTATTCCATTTCTTTTGCTTCTCTGTGTACTTCACTCTTGCATAAGCATTCAAGTTATAGTAGGGAAAAAAACCCTCTGACCTTTTTACATGTGTTTGCACGTAAATCATGTTTTCTAAGAAAACCAAGGTTATTCGACAGCTTCTCCAGCTTCGACTGGGGTTAGTATTTCTTGATGTGAATGTCAGATAATTTTGTAAAATGTAAATGTTGAACAAATGAATAGGCTCTGTTTATCCTGTCAGTGTGAATGGATTTTGTTCCGTCTGCCTCTCTTGGCTCTCACCTCCTGCCCCCGCCTTTCCTGCTCCTATACCCTAGACAGAGAGTGTAAGGGCTAAGCTTCACCTCAGTGCACTTCAGCCTCTCTGCTTCTCAGGCTAGTTCACGCTCCACTGACCAGGGCTAGGGCTGCCTGGGCCGCATTATCAATTACCGGCCACAGGCACACACTGTTCCTGACAGACCCCAGGGAGGGGCACTCCACGCAGAAATTACTGCAGCAAAAAAAGAGAAGAAAAAAAAGAAGAAGAGGGGAGCCCTGAGTCCTTGTCCCAACCAAATTCATACAGAAAAACAATGAAAT